AAAAGATGCGATTTAAATTTTGAAACTTCCTGCACGACAATTATCAAATCCAGAAGTTCGTCCTCCTCTTCGCAACTTTCATCCTGTCAAAAAGAAAAAAATTCAGTGCGAAAGATCACCCAACCACTCTGACAACTGAGCTTCTGTCATGGACACCCATCGGGTACTCTTTTAGAATTTTCAAAAGGAGAAAGACAAAAATGGATTTTTCGTGTTCATTGCTTCCGAAATTATTAACTAGGAGTCCAACTCTGAGTTCAACTGGATTGTCTGCATGCTAAAAATGAAAGAAATAACAATTTCAAAAATTAAAAAAGTTTGATTCCTGAATAAGGCACAAAAAAAACTTGGAATCATTTTGGCCCATCTCATCTGCGTGCCACCCTACTGCCTCCCCTCTTCATTGGAAATCCAGTTTGAACGCAACAGGGACAGCATTCAATTCCAGGCTAATTTTGCTTTGTGAATGACTAATACTTTGTTGAGTTTGTTTCATCAGGCTAATATTCGTTTTTAATGTCTTGGTTACCATAATTTTAGCCCATCCCATAGGCAATCTTTTCTTCCAAAGATAGCTGAAGGAATCTTCAGTTTTCTACGAAAGACCGCCTTGAGAAACCTGTTCTCCTTTTTATGATTTTGCACTTTGTTTCGCAATCTGACCACATCGAGAAAACATGAGATGAGATACAATTTTCCTATCACATCGTTTTTGTCCTCCAATGTCTTGTTGCGATTCGAGAGAAAGTCATTTGGACGGTGAAATTAAGTCATCGTCAGTCAGAAATTGATACACTTGAGTTGTACGACTTTTTGCCCATTTCAAATAGCTCTTCTCATCAAGTGACACCATCCCTCTTTATGGCTCGCTGTCTCGAAGAATGGCGAAGGGGAGAGGGGGAGGAGGGAGCATGGGTTTGGAGTGGAACGAACGTTTTAAGCGGTCCTATCCCATTCCAGGAAAGCATTCGTCCTTCAAGGGCAGCAATAATGATAATTTAGTGGTGATATGATATGGATATGGAGCTGCCAAGTAGTGCGGCGGTGACGAAAACCTGAATAGCCCGTCAAAAATCCGAGAACTGTTACCCTCCCTGTGTCCGCTGACTTTGGACAAGTTTACGCCTTTGGCGCTGGCTGGGTGAGTGTGACCTGAAAAAATGTAAGGGACGACAGGATCGCAGAATGCAGTTTTATACAAATGCACTTCAAAATGAAAAGCGAGCGCTAATAACATCGCTAACCTCAGTGATCGTACATTGAGGTGGAGAACCGACGTGGGATGGTATAAGGTTTGTAACCGAATGCGTTGCAACTGGCCCACCTTTGCCTTAAAACGCTGCACCTCGCTTCGTTTGCCGCCAGGCCACCGCTTCCATTTACTCGGTGCGGACCCTTTTTATCTGTTCACTGCTTTCGAACTCTCGGAGGCCCAATCACAGCAGTGTTTTGCAACTCCTATCTTTTACCACTGCTTGGAAATAAGCGATGTCTTATAAGTGGTTGTTATGTGGAATCCACTGGGGACTGTGATTTTCAACACTTTATGCATGGCTCTGATTGAAACTTAATTTGACCGGTGCAGCGGAAGCTGACGAAGTCGATCACTTATTTTTTTCATTTAGACATCATCGCAAGATCCGTTGTATCGTCGATATGAATTCAAGTCCACAATGACGCGAGTGATCAGTCGTCCGGCGAAATATGGGCTTTTGGTGGAGACGATCCTGAAGAACGAATACAACAAGTTCACGAAAGAGAGCGAATTAACTCAAAAAGCCCTCGTGGTAAGCAATTCAAACATATGGTATAGTTTGAGATTACGTAGAGGATGAAGCAGAGGAAATGGCCTCACTAGTTGTTTAAATGAGAGCATCGAAGGGCTAATCTCGTTCGCGTCTTCACGTCGTTTCTTGGGAAGAGTTTAACATTGTAAAACGCGTGGAAGCTGTTCACCAGCATGAGTACCTCTTTCCGTTCGCATCAACCGACCACAGAGGGATTTATTAGGAAGAATGTTGAATCAAAGTCTATTTTCCACCTTTCTCGGCTAGTTTTTGTGCCTAGTGTTTTGACCGGGCAGTGCCAAAGTTCATGATGTCGGGAAACAGAATACACTGGGACTGGAATAATTATTGAGTATTTGAGTTGAAGTAAAGCATTTAACTATGCCACTACATATCAAGTATCAGAATTTGGCCTCAAAAGGGGTTTTTAGTCAAAATTATGTGTGTGAATTTTTTATGGAAGGTACCTGCTCGTGTGTACTCCCTTTCAAAAAACGAGAAGAGCGTCGGGTGCAGACCATACACCACAAGTGACGACGGCCTCCACAAAATGTAAATGTTTTCTGCCAATGAAATGATTAGCCTGTTGCAGTTGTATTCTATCAGTTGTCACTAATTACAACTATCATTTACCAAAAATCAGCTATCACTATGAACCACTACTAACCAGATTTACTTGGAGGCCGTCGTCACTTGTGGTGTATGGTCTGCACCCAACGCTTTCTCGTTTTTTGAAAAGGAGGGTGTTGTGAGCGGGTGATTTTCCAAATTTGATCGAGGAAGAATTCCCAGGAGTTCCCACTTGGCCATTGTTAATATTATAGGAAACTCACATATCAGTAAGGGATCGTCAGTCTTTTCAATACAAGTAGAGAGTTGTAGTTGAGTGACGTCATGCTCACCTCTGCCATCACATAAGCGTCTATAGAGCACTCAGGAGATTTGATCCCAGTGCGAAGCCCACCGTCGATCCAGTTCAAAGGTCTCTGAGGAATCTTCCCGCTCGCCTTGAACCTTGAAATTTTGCCGCTGTTTACTAGCCTCGGGTGAAGGATTATCCATCAAACCCAGTTGGGATGATTTCAATTAAGGCATGTCTAGACGGCTGGCCAGAAGGGAACGTCAGAAGCGTACATATGTAACACTGCTGTGTCGAAAACCGGTATTCGACTGCTTTGTTGTTTTTCGCCATAAGAATCACCCCATCGTATGTTATGGTGTTGATGATGCAAATAGAAATGGAAATATGATGTTATATGGTAGGTAAGTTAAGATGTTAATGGGTAGATTCCTGTCCCTCGTGGTTAGAAAATGTCACCAGTTTTCCAAGTATAGTATTCAGTGTGGCGGCACTCCACCATGCTCTTTTCCATTGGGTGTTCCTCTTTACCAGGACAGGAAATTAAGGGTGAAGAATACAAGTTTACTCTGCTTGTTTGGGAGTTTGGAAGATTGTCTTTGGAGGATGGCTCTTTTTTTGGGGAGAGAGATCCTTTTCCTTTTGTGATTGGTCCGAGTGGTTCTCTTTAAATTTTTCTGAAGCCATGTAGTTGTCACATCTCATCTTTTACCGCTGGTTTTTCATCTATTCAAATTCTCAGTCAATTAAGTGGGAGGGTATCGTTAGTTGATTGCTTTTTAGGTCAGTGATTGGTACTTTAGGTAGTGAAACCAAATAAGGGAGCGTTTTAGTGGGTGGGAGACTATTCACTGTACAGAAGTTTCTTACTACTTTTTTCTCTTTTTTGTTTCTATTGAAGGTAGGAGTTAAGAAGGGTTTGTTAATTCCACGGAGGCTTCTCTCCTCGCTCACGCCTGAAAAATACAAATACTGTTAAAGTCATTCTCATCTTACCTGTGTTCAGAGCTGTTTGTTATAAAAAGGCATTCTTGAGGAATTTCGGCTCTTGAGCTGCAATTTTCGGGAGCAAATTCTGCTATTTTTGGAGCAATTTCATTAACCGAAAATTGGCTGCTATGGCAATGAATCAGCCGATTGCTCATGTGCCCTAGGCGATTTGGTGTTGAAAAATGTATATAATGAAGATGGCGAGACTTTGACTGTCATAATAAATGTATGTTCTGAAGGCAGCCAAGCGCTTTGCGATGAAGATCGACAACAACTTGCTGGTGGCGCAAAATGGCACAACGGGATGGGATGACGTTCGATCGCATTTCGACCATTCGAGTCACACCAATCTTTATCTTGTCGACAAGGAAAAACCATCCGGTGCTGTACGTATCACTTTTACTGTGAGTTTCTTTTTAATTTGGTTTTTTATTAGGCTTTTTCGCTTAGAAAAAATTTCACTCCGTAGAAAGAAGTCTTTACTCCTCTATCACATAGAATAGAGAGAAATTGTTGACAGTTTGTCCTTGTATCAACCAAAGTTTTCCGTTTTCTTTTGTTGTAATAAAAAATGCAAAGCCGCTAATTGGGTTACATATTCTTCGCAAAATCTGATCATGAGGGGAAAGCATGGGAAATTCTCGAAGCACCTTCATAATGGTTTCAGTACTCTGGATCGTGAGCCATTTTTGCAGAAAACTGTTCTGAATAGTCGCCCTCGTGGGGCCTTTTGATTGATCCTATTCACGCGCTTCGTACGCCAATATGCACGTAGCAAGTTCGACATTGTAAGGTGTCACTTAGATTGGCGTTTGTCCATGATCTTTTCTAGGCGCCCGTGAGGATCGAAGTCGTGAAGTTTTGTGATAGGAGCAGATGAGATTTTTTGAATCGCTACAGTTATTTTCTCTCACCAATTAGACGCCTACGGATGTACTCTCACATTATAAAGGCTTGAAGGAAGCGGTTACGATAAAGAGGCGAGCACATCGGGGAAGCATGTGTACCACACGAAGCGGTTACTTGGCTGCCAAAGAGGCGAAGTGCGCGCTTTCACAACGAGAGGTGCGCTGGTTGCTGAGCAGAACTTCGAAAGCGCTCCGCCCCCAAAAGCGATCCGCCCACCAGTTTACTTGTTGATTTGGACGAGCTGCGTGGCTAGCAGTGGCGCAAATGGATCATCTCGATTGAAGCGTGGTTTGGCAATGGTGCTCATCAAACGACTTGCGGTGAACTCGATCATAACTCCACTTACTGAGCTGTCAGACCGACGTCATAGTCGGCGACGGACCAAGCGATGGCTGGGTGAGAGCCATCGGCCAAAAAATGTACCATTATGCGTGTCTTGGTGACTTTTTCTGTTTTTTTTTCTCGCCCCTGGCCGTAACATGTGACACCACCACGTCACATCTAAATAACTTTTTTTCATTTTGTAATCCGCTGCCTTCTGAAAAGAGTCGCGTCTCGTCATCTCCCATTCACAAAAAGCGACCTGCCTTCTGAAAACTCGAAAATCATCTTAGAAACCCATAACTATTGCACTGATTTGCCACACACCTCATTGGAATAGACATATGTTTAAGAAATCGATGTAATTGCTTTGTTTTATAAAATTGCGTTGCTGCACTGCGCCCTTCTCCTATCTTCCGGTAGCTTCCGGCGTCTTATGTGTCTATGTATTCTACTGCAATCAGTGGCCATCCAGGAAAGGGACAAGGACAAAACAGAAAATGGTATTCTCTAGTTGCACCGCTTTCTTCAAAGAACATAGAGGCATTTTCTGAGTGTGAAAATATGCGTGTCCCCAAATAACCCTTCGAGAGCATATGCTAATTTTGCACACATTCTACCACACACTGTTAACAAAAATATTTTGCAGAGTTCTGAATAAAAATGTCATATTATCGATGAACTGCAATAATTTTCGGCCTATAGGCAGTGAACACGATGGGTGGAGTGTGCTGCGGTTTTAATGACGTCATTTGACAACATTGGTGGAGGCGGGCGTCAAGATGCTGCATCAGCCACATCTCTAAGCGCGCTGAGGAGTCTATTTCACCAATGACCTTCAGTGACGGTCATCCGAAATCTCGCTCTTCCCAGCCGTCGTCATCACTGCTTTCAAGTAAATTAGGTGGATTGTAAATTTATGGAGAAGTCGCGCACGACGTCAAAGGCCCTGCTCTATAAGTCTTGCTCCGTTGCGGGCCGCCGTCGCACGGTCGTGCGGAGCGCAACGGAACAGTGCGAAGAGCGTCAACACGCGCACTGGCACATGACGCGCAAGGCGTCGGCTCTGCGCCAAATACGCGTTCAGAGCGCGTGTTGACGCTCTTCGCACTGTCCGTGCAGTGCTCTAACCAGTCAAGGTCATTTCGTCACCTAGGCAAGAAATGCGGTCAAAATTGAGGAGTCTCTTCAGGGGAGTTCGATTCCCTAATTGCGAATATCACAAGTTGTCCGGAACGAAGGTGCCTTACGCCTGCGCTAAAGGCGCCTTCTGTAGTCGGGAGCCAATAAGGCTTGATTTTCGTTGTTAACTGCTGAAATTCTTCGCGCATGGAATTATATGCAACGATCCGAACTAGCGAGTCAAAAGACCTCCCAGCTGTGTTACGAAAAATAGCAAAAGAGCAAGCTCGCGAAGGAGTGGATCCCACGACCTCTTGTATGTGAGTCCAGGCCGCTTGCGATTCTCCACTACACAGTTTTGTCTGAAGAAGAGTTTAGCAATAAGGGCAACAGATTGGAACTCAGCGTTTTAGCCCCGTACAGAAATAGGCATCCCATTGCGACTGGCCTGGTTGAGCTAATAACCTTTCCCTAGTAAGCTCAGTGATCTTTTAGCACCATCGCTCTGAAGCTCATTACTTTTTGACTTGTTTTTGTTTGTTAGCTATGGTAAGTATACCATGAAAAGCTGAGTTGGAATGAAATGGTGCCCCGGTAGCGTAACTGGTAGCGCACTTGCCCGGAAAGCGAGAGGTGCGGGTTCTAGTCCCGCCTGGGGCGAAAGTTTTGTTCACAATTAATTCTTGTGAAACCTTCATTACTAGTTTGTTCTGGATTATTTTTTGATTCACTGTTCCGTGATATTTAGATGGAAGATCTCGATATCGACATGAAACATGTAGGGTCCGGCCAGCGACGACTGATGTGTTTAGGAGATGTTTGTATGAAGAATTCTAGCACTAAAGTCGTTGAGAAAGGTAGGGATCTTGAAATTAATAGATTTGTTTTCATTTTTGTGTGCCATGAAACTGAAGGACGTCATTTTAGTTTTCATGGTGTTATTTGATGATATCCTTGTGTGCCTGCAACGTCGTAGCAATCAGAAGTACGTATTTATCCAGCAGGTCAGTGATTTACTTCCCACTCTTTTCTATTAATAGGATGCTACTTCAATGTCAAAGTGTTTTCTGATAATTTTAGTTCTGTTGCTAAAATTGTGAGTTATAAGGTGCCTCTCTTGCTTCTGAACCCTGGGAAACTTTTGAGATTTTTAAGACTTTTGGGTTTCTTGAAATAACGTTTTCGAGCTTCAAGCTGTTGACATACTTAGGTTACCAAGAGGCTCCAGGACAGTACCATCCTTAAATAGCTGCTGTGTGGGAAAGATCAATTTTCTCCTACTGGATGAGGAATTGTCGACTAAAATGTTGTGAACAAGAATTTTGTGCTGGAAATAAGTTTTGTTTCAGGAGCAGTCAGTCTTCCCTGTCAGCGGTCTCATTCTGCGACCGGCCGATCGTAGTGCGTCCGTGATGATCATCTCTGGTGCTATTACAAAGCCAGCCCTCCTAGAAGTAGAATTTAACTCGAAGTCGGATCGCACGAAATGGATCAAAACGCTCGAAACGGCCATTCATAGCGCCCCCGTCAAAGGTTTGTTTAGTTTTTTTTTCTTCTAGAGTTGGTTCTTGCTAAACTGCAGAGCACCCAAGGGCCATCGCTGTTTGGTGTAAAGTTTTTGGGATCTATGTATGAATTGAATCCTGCCCAAGCCAGCTAGAAATTTAATCCTCTGCATTTGGTCAGCTGAAAAAGCTGTGCTTTGAAGCATAAACGTTGATATGAAGCGCGGATCCTGTAGGCTGTCTTACACGCCCGACAGCTTCTGTATACTGCTAGATTGCGCTCGATTGCAGTAGTTACCTAATGTGCATTCAGGTAAAAGTTTCAAGAATCCTTACTTTATAGGGTTTCGTAGGCACTGGTGGGCCTTTGAGGATGACGGCGTATACTTACAGCTTAATTTGCA